TTTCAGCGCGACCGGGCATCGTAAACTAATCGTTCACGGTAAAAGTGGATATGTGACCTAGGCATTATTTATAAGCTTGCTGGAAGTTGAGGTTTGTCACAAGTCAAGAGTTGAACGTTTGAGGGCAAAACATTCCCATGTTTCTTGAACATGAACTGTTTCTTCCCTGAGTTCAGTTTCATCACGTTTGCAATCATTCTGACTACAGTCATCATCACTGATCTTTGGAGGTTTAAGGGGGGCACTGGCTGATCACCATGGGGCACTGCTGGAGAAACATGATTCGCAGGGGATGAAAGGTGCGTGTGGTAGTTTGGTACCCGTCGTTCGTCAAAAATGTCTAGAGAGGATAAGTTGTTGATAAGTGGCACATAGCTTCAGAAGCGTCGTTTGACCGCGGAAGTGAGTCTGACAAGTGCCCGGCCTTCTGAAATTGACGCTTGCGCCAGTTTTCAGACTGAGGGGATCGGTCTATCCCCTTCCTCCACAACGACAGGAATGCAACAGAATTCAAACTTCTACTTGAGTCTTACGACTGTAGGTGGGGTGATCTGGACACATCGTACCTCAGATCTCGACGTTGTGGTCCCTAAGGCTGGTTATAGAGGGAAATGAATGCTGAGATTTGATCCAGTATGTCTATCTAAACATGCCTCAAGACTTGAGACAAATTATTTGAGACTGATGAATTGCTCACTAACACAAAATCTAAACAAAACCAAAATTTGCACAGTCAAATGATATCGACAAACCAACTCTGATGATTTGTGTCATAAGTTAGGTGTGCGAGTTGCACGTGTGAAATTGAAATTTCACTACACACGCTTGTTGATTACCTGGCTACCTACAAGACGATGGTTACTTGTTCACTTTGCGCAACAGGTTCGTCAGAACGACGGGGAAGGCAGCGGCAGCATTAAGATTGAGTGTGTCGTAGGTAATCTAAACAATGTCCCCTTGGAATGGCCTTGACTCATAGACATCACCTGGTCCATTAGAGGACAACGCTGTTGCAGGTTGCATTGCACTGGCGAAAACAGATTCTGCTGATCGGGTTCATCGTGGGAGAGGGGACTTCCATTGCATTTATACGATGTCTGCATGTGCACTTGAAGAAAGGTGTTTATGGAATTTTCATCTTCTTAAACAACGGGTGGTTTCTTAGATCTCAAATTCGCAATGTTTCGCCAATTGCTTAAAGTCCGAAATGTATTTCAAATGTATCCGTTCTCGTGCCGGGCAACAAACGACAGCAAACTGTACATTGAATAGTCTGGTCCTGACAGTGTACTGATTGAGGTCATCAACACAGATCTACGTTAATAAGATAAGATGTCTTGCAATCAAGCAATCACCGTTTTGTCAAAACTTAAATCATGACGGCTTCAGTGATAAACACCACACTGAAATACGCCAGGAGGTACTTATATATGAGTGAGTGAGTGAGTGGGTTAAAATTTAACGTCACCTCGGCAATATTTCAGCCATAGAGGGACGAGAAATATTGGACATACACAATAAATACAAGTAGGTAAATTACCAGTCATTGTCGGACTGGAAAATAACAAAAGTATCACAGATATGGATATATAACCAGCTTGAAAACTAAAACATTTTAATTAAAGCAGACAATACAATATAAAACACGGGCTATAGATCGCCAACAACTAGGTACTTATGTCTATGGATGACATGTATGTATGATATGAAAAGAAAGCACATGGTATTATGTATGCAACGGTTCCATTTCTATACTCATGCCAATAATGGTTGTCACCTCCCTCCCCACACCTCACACCCCCATCCAACACCCCACAACCCCTCCAATTAAAAAAATTGAAGGGGGTGACAACCATTATTGGCATGAGTATATTAGGATATCAGGGCAAGTGTATTGAATATTAAGCTTTTAGTTAATGTATCATAATTTTGAATATTCGCTCCACACAGATCACCCTAAATATACCATAGCCTTTATATGCTGCTAATGTTTTGGGAGATATGTACACACACAATTACTGGCACCAGTAATACTCTTAGTAGCACAACATGCAGTGCCGTCAACGCAGCTCAGCCTTGTTGAGATAGGGACAGCGCAAGTCCCCCGACATCGATCCACCTTTTCTAGTTATATACCGAGTTTTCATATTCTCCAACTCGAGTGTATAATTGGCAATATAGGTGGACATAGGCAGTAAATGTTGCTCTGATATTGTTTTAAACGTCTTTTTACATGTACTGTCCGTTATGTTAGGAACGGCTATGTTCAACTGGCTAGTTGAAAGTTGGATCTGGTCGACCAAGGACAACAACTGGCGCACAAGACCGACAAATCAGAATCGTGATCGAAATCCCTCTCAAATTGAAGATGAGCTTCACAGCAATCATGTTAAAGTAAGTGGGCAGACGATTCGTAACACGAACCGCCACATTACTGGAGACGCCGTTGGTATCCAGTGCGGCAGCGCTATGCCAATAGTTGTAACGCAACGGCATGTTTTGGGAAGAATGAAGGTTTACTTTGGACATCCTTGAAAGAGTGTGGCGTAGACAAAATGAACGTTATCGTGATCGTTTTGCGGGTAGCTCAGAAATGGTGTGGGATGAGTTCGCTGTGACTCGTCGAACACCTTTACGTGTTATTTACGGACGTGTCACTGGACGGTACTACCCAGTACCGTGACAACATCCTGGAGGCACCCGCAGTGCCATCTGAACGCCGACATGGACGTCGTTTGGTGTTTCTTGATGACAACGCGACAGCGCACACGGCTGTGGCTGAGTACTTCCAACAGGGCAACATGTCCACTTTATCATGGCCTGAAGTCTGCTCACACTTATCACTCATCGAAAAAGTCCCGAGCTTCCACGAGACAAACTAGCTTGAGATGCCGGGGGTCCAAGGAGCCCCTGAAGCCAACGCACAACTGCAAATTTTATCCCCAGACAAGCCTCTGAAAACGATGTATTCAGACCTACTTGTGTGATTTTTAATGGTATAGTTAGTTACCTCCTACGACAAGCCTGGTCCAGTTCTAGCCCGAACATACGTGTTACGCCCGTCTCAAATCATGTCCAAATACATCTGATGTAACATAACTAAGTTCTTAATATGGCTTCTGTAGCGGTCATATTGACAATCGAATTCAAACTGGTGAACATTTTCATTATTGGAGAAAATGCCGGGGATGTTGACATACGCTGCCAGAAAAAGCGGCGATTTCATACATGGATTGCCTTGCCCAGCCAGGGAACTAAAATATCTCCATCTGGAACCCTTTGAAGCTGAGAGATGTCTTTACTGAAACCACACCAGACAATAAAATATCTAACGATCAGCAATCGTATGATCTGCATACTGTAATTGTGTGTATCAGCCTTCAAACATTAGTAATATATATATATACTGAACCACAAAAGAAATGTCGCACTAATAGCGGTTTCTTAAAGCACACACTTTAATTCACTCTAATGAACAATCAAAACGGAGGATTGACTTCAAACTTGACAGTTATGGTTAACACATTTTCGGAAATCACATTTAGAGTTCACACAAACAAAATCACAAAAATAGTACCATTAAGATACCCCAAAGTCAGTACTGTGTGTGGCCTCTATGGGCATCGATGAAAGCGTTGCATCGTCTGTATATGGAATGAATTAGCCGGTTGATGAAGGCCATAGGCACTTAGGGTCCATACTCTGTGAAATGCCTGATCGAGTCCTGCAGCAGTTGTCGGCCTTGGGTGGTAGTCATTCAGTCTTCTTTGAATCTTGTCCCAAAGGTGTTCTATTGAACTCAAATCAAGACTAAGTGCAGTCTATTGTAGGGTTTCGATGCCATGTTGTTTTAGGAAGTCCAATGTTACTCTGGAAGTGTGGGCACGAGCGTTGTCTTGCTGGAAGATGTGATTTCTGTAACGTCCAAAATGTGGTACAACGTGGGGTTTTATGACTTAGTCAATATAGCGGGCAACTGTCTCGTCATTTCCTCATCCTGGACCTAGATTCTGGAACACCACGGTGCCAGCTATCTGGTTCCGACCGACTGCACCCACACCATGATGCTTGGACCACCCCACGAGTCTCTTTCAACAATACACTCACTGGAAAACAGTTCCCCGCGCCTTCACCATACTCATACTCAGCCATCGACTGTCGAAACACAATATTGGCTGTCATGAGAAAAAAGAATAGTTCTCATTGTCGATAACGCCAATTCCGATGCTTAGTTGCCCATCGCAGTCGGTTTGGGGGTGATGAGCGGTGAGGACAGGACTACGATATTGTCTGTGACAGCAAAGGTTTCTTCCGCACAAACGCAGACGCACTGTATCGGCATTGATGGGTCTGTTGTGAGTCCCAATTGTGTGGCGTGCTCTTTCCGTCGCTCTGGGGAAGCGATCCTGCAGATGGTGGTGCACAATCTGTCGGTCTTAACGTTGTGATGTTACTGAAGGTCGCCCATTGCGTGGACGGTCTTGGATGCTGTTAGTGACCCGATACCACTCCTGCAGTCGGTAGATTGGTAGATTAACATGGACAGTAAAATGATTGGCAGTCTGGCCAACTTGCAATCGTACGAAGACTTGGTTCCTCTGATCTCTCGTAATTCGTGCCATGACAATTGTGTCAAAGCAAAAATGATTTCAGTCGAGTTTGGGACTCGCTTTCATTGGTAGGGTTGTCACGATATGCCCGAGCATTTTTATTTTCACGAATGTCATACGGAACCTTTTACCAAGTCTGCCTTTTTAGGTGCGTTCGGTCGATATGCTTTTTCATCAGAAAAAACACTGATGTTGGTAATTACTGTCAATATGGATTGAAAACATGTTAACAAAACGATTCAATCATAATGAAAACACCATTGTGTAAGAACAAAATCTTGCATTTGGTTTTGAAAAGCGACGTTTGTTTTGTGGTTCAGTATATGGTTAGCGTTATTAAGGTTATTATGATAGATATGTTTTCGAACAAAAAACGTGGAGTTAACCTACCAGGTGAGCAGGATGGATCGACAGCACAATCGTCTATTATACTCATCAATGTTCTCATCAGCGCTTGACGGCCGGCTTTAGCTCCCAAGTGAGAATACATGCAGGGGAAGCCATCACACGACCTCTTAGCTTCTGACCTTGTGTCATATGCTTGCTTTTCAAAAGATCTGAAACGAAGAATTTTTTATATATGCAAAGAATAACAGTAAAATGTTTCATACCATGCACTGAATCATAAACTAAGAAACAGGACAACCATTGATGCCAAGCAAAATAATATATCAGTTCATACAAAAAGAAAACAAATATTCTAATACAACAGCCATTTACGCGGCAGGTTAATAGATGTACAAATACAAAACAAAATATTGCAGAGGACACCCAATTGAAAAAGTGATTTCAAAATCTGCTTACTTGTATGATAGCGGAGCGGAGCGTAGGTAGGATTGATAATTGCATAACGAACATCGTAAAATGTTCCATGTATGAAGTTTAGCTGTGTACAGTAGTGCATGTCCCAAGAAATACACAAAATAATGACACAACAGGAATTTCCCTCCAACACGTTCCAACTTTATCTTCACTGTCATAGTGAGTGAGTTAGTATTACCTGACGCCGCATCACCTATCTCGCAGCTACATATTTTCGCGACAAACATTAGGAAATACCCATTGTCGAAGAAAACCTCAGTGAAGTATCATACTGATTTGTAAAGAACTGACTGTTGGGGTGTAAATCTAAATTGTGTGATAGAGATATCCTTGAGGTCTTTCAGATTTGCTAAATTGAGCTTCTTACAAAAAGTTCTAAAAGATTCAGACTAAGATTGACCATTGCAAAGAGTTGTCGTTGAGTGCAGCACACTCACGCGAATACGGGCAGCTACAAGGGATGCATTGAGTCGGATCCTCTCATTACCTTAACAGAAGTCATCAGAAGATGACCCTTTGTTTTTCCTTTTTTTTATTCAGTCAAATGTTACAGAAGATGACCTCATCGAACATCTAATGACCCTTTGTTTTTTCTTTTTTTTATTCAGTCAAATGTTACAGAAGATGACCTGATCGAACATCTAATATATAAAGTGAAACAAAGATTCTTGAAACCTACCCAGTTTAGAATAAAAAAAACCTTCAGAATATCAAATACCTATAAACACTAAGCTTTACGATTCTCAATATACTCAATAATAGATTTATTATCAACTCTAAAGCCGAAAACCTAAGTTTCGTTAATAGCTGTGATGGAAATACATCAGTATCTGGATCCTCATGCATTTTGTTTTGTTACAAAAATGAAAACAGCAGGTTTTAGTATTAGAAAACTTAAAAGTATTTTTCCAGTGAACACTTGTCCATCTTATTAAACCATATCTGTAATTGTTTTTCAATTGTTTTCAGTGAAAACACAATACCATTTAGAAAGTGGTTAGATGTAACATATACTACCCATCAAAAATTTAGACTCACTTAAAACACTCATTATATGTTATGTATATACATGTGGTTACATCGAAGATGAATTTCTCCACTAACTTCGGGGAACCAACTGCAAACCTTATGCAGATGAATTGCACGAGGATCATGCATCAAATTGCTGAAAAGTATGTGCACATATCGTGCATGTGAACAGCTGCGTTTTGGTGTAAAGTTTTGTTAAGAATTCGCCAATTTTCACTGAGTTTCATCATTTATTGAACTCATGACAATACTCTTTTCAACGTTACGAATTTGTTTTACAATACATCAGTTCATGTGTAAACAGTACCCTTAAACTGAATAGAATATTTTGCAAAATCTAGTTTAGATCAGTTGACTGAGGTAAGTGGCTGCATTTACACTAGTGAGTCTAAACTTTTGATGGGGAGTATATGTACTTTCTTTGTAAAGTGCAGATTCTAGTACTTTTGTTGGGTTGAGTCCTATCCCGGATTCAAACCCACACCCTCAGAGTCAGGCACCTAATCGCCAGCACACAAAGTCGGCCGCCTAACCCGCTCAACCACCGCGGCTTCCGCTGTTATTCAGGTTAGTAAAAGGTAACATTGATGTGATCATTAAAAGCTTTAACCAAACTATTGATTTCAATACCTAAAAGGAGATAAAATACTTCCATGAAAACTCCCATTTCATAACAATTGAAGTCACTTAAAATTGTCTATCGTTTAAAAGACTTGTTCCATAACAAGTCATACCACGATGGACAGTCGCATGTTAATATTTCAAAATATCATATTTCCAAGTGTTATCGTATGCCTTTGTACAGAATCTAAACGTTATTGAAAATACATGCTGCTTATTTAGAAAAGGATCATTTCAGACACATGACTCTAGTCTGATGTAAATGATCAACGGTACACCTCTCGTGCTTTATTCAAGTTACCAGACAAGTCGACGCTCGTAAGCAATTAGATGTTAATACAAAGGATCTGGATGATCAGGGCTCCGTTTCACAAAGCTATCGTAGCGCTACGACTGTCGTAAGTCTATGTTACAGTATAGGAGGTACGACAGTCGTATTGCTACGATAGCTTTGTGAAACGGGGCCCAGGTTTGTAAACTTCCATTCATATATGGGTGACTAACAGACGTGAGGAAAATGATCGCCATCGTACACATCATCATGAACGGGCAATGAAAGCATGTACATAAATGCAGGGATGAGTATGTGCCGAGTACTGAGTGTAAAAACACTATTACTAATATCATGACTTTCTTGAGTTATGAATGAAGTCCTCTGCCGCATTACCATTCTCTTTATAACCATGTCAACCAAACAAAAACAACCACCATTCAATCACCAACAAGCAAGACTAGCTTTGAAAGTTTGTCAAACGGTTTATCAAGATCCGTCACAATATACGCAAGTGCTTGAGGAATGTATAACAAACATAAGTTTGGACAGGTAAACGGACATGCTCAAATTGACAGGTCCGTATTTTCCGATGAGAGCTGTGGATTGCTGCCTCTTGAACACAAACACCGATGGTGCTATTGAACTGCAGTCACAAACAGACCCAGAATTTCCACAATTACACTGTATTGGTGGGAGAACGACCTTGGTCTTTTCATCGCCGCCACGAAGTGTGGCATTCATCTTCTAAATGAGGATACATTTTTGCACAGACAGAAATTTTACACACTGATGTTTCTGGTCATATCTCGTTTGAATTAGAACATTGTTATCTAAAATATATTTAGTAATGGTTAATAGCCCTTTCTCCATTCTCTTCAAGTTTGTGCATATTGTGTGAAATGGGGATAGCTTCCTTTTAAGAAAAAGAACTATTTAAGTAATAATACCCTGTTCACATGCCAAAAATACATACTTTATTATGTTTACATAGGAAGAAATTTGGACGTGCAAGTAAACGTAAAAATACATGCTTTCACATGGAGAAAGTCTGCCGTGTGCAAAATATAACTGCTGTACGTTTCAGAGTAGTTATTCGGCACCCTAGCAAAATCCTAAAAACAGGAACTACTCAACGCTCGTGGTATTATAGGTTTCGGGAGGTACTCTTATTATACAATTAATACTGTGCAGGGACAGCAGCCACAATCATACATGGTATCGGAACCAAAATGCCTTCTAATTTGATTGTGACTTCATCAACACAAACAGGCAATTCAGTAGGCAAAAAGCACTCAGAAAGCCACAAACCAGTGCAGTATCGGAGACAAACCTCTTCTTCAAGTTTGTTCCGAAACACACGTCAAACGGCACCTTAAGATAGGTCGTCGGCCAAAGCCCGGATATTCTTCCAAGTTAACAGAATGCGAAGACACCGACAAATCTTGTTCAAGCATGTCGGAACACAGTGACAAACAGTTTAGTTTCCTTTGCTGGAGTGTAAAAAATATCAGCGCCTTGAGCATGCACTAGTTGCCTGAATATGTGCGCTATATAAATATCCTATAATAATAATACATAAATAAGAAATGGGTTACGAAGCAAAACTAGTGATTCTGACATTGTCACTTATCTACATACACTCAAAATAATATGCCTTGTTGAGACCTTCGTGAATGATCTCTTGGATATGAACTGGCTACCACGCTATGGTGTTTTCTATAGTCCGCCTGTGAAGCTTTCAAACTACGGCCGTTTGTCTGGCGGCATATGTGTATGTATTCAACATTCAATTTCCCACTTATACAAAGAAATTCCTTCAAATATTGATAAGTGCCTATGTTTTACATTAAAGCTTAGATGCAACCAACAAAATAAACATAATTAAAACCTAATTATCACTTATTCATGACATATAATATACATTGCTGATTATGAAAAAAACAAATGAACAAAATTATAAGCGTACAGTCAAAAGTGCAATATTTTGAACTTGGATTTCCTACCCTCGAAACGAAGCATCCGAGATACCGAACCCAGTCAGAGCGGGTGGGCGTGCACTTAAGTGTAACGAATACTTTCATTGCCTGGTTCATTTGCCAATACACTCAAAGCTCTTTGTATGTAAGAAAGTCTGTCAATGTTATTAATTCCTACACATATCTTGGTTTGGTATTTTCTCACACAATGTGCTTTAAAATTTCCACATTTATAGAATTATAGATCTTTGATTCAAATATTTGCTGTTTATTCTAAACTTGGAACTGTTCTCCCAAATGTTTTTTTAAACTGTTCGATTCTCAAATACAGCCAATATTACTTTACGGTTCAGAAGTATGGGAATTCCAAAGATACGATTGTTTATAAAACATCCACCTCTTGGCAGGTACAAATACCTCAGGGTCGGGTCCTCTTCGCCGATTTCTATCGCATATGGTGAATGTGGCAGATCCACTACATATAGCCTCACAAATCAGATGCCTTAAATTCTGGTTAAAAGTTTTAGATATGCATGAACGTCTACCGAAAGCAGGCTACAATTTCCTCCTACACTTAGACAATGCAGGTAAGGTAACATGGGCTTCATTCATTCGAAAGCTTTTATTCTCATACGGTTCTGGCATTGTCTGGTTGTCCCAGACAGTTGGTAATGTACGTATATTTTAAAATGAATTCAGGGAACGCTCCATAAATATATATTTTCAAAATTAGCATTCGAATTTAAACGAAAGTACACGATATGAATCTTACAGATCGTTTAAAAATCTTCTTGAACCCGAAAAATACCTATTCGTACTAACCTCTGGAAAGTTA